ACCCACCACCACCACCCTATGCATCACTCATCAAAACCACCCGAAACCACCACCCCACTACCACCCATCACCTAGCACCACCAACCACCCCACTACCGTCCATCACCACCCACCATAACCCCCACCACCACCACCCAAATAGTTATTCTCGTGTATATAAACACATGTGATTATATTTATTTAATCACATATGATTTATATATACAATATTTGTTTTTTATAATAAAATCATATATGATTAGATACATATAATCATATGTGATTAAATGTATTTAATCACATATGATTAAAATGGACAAAGAACAATTATTGAATCGAGAACGCGAAAGTGAATATTGTCCACATATAAATCATATGAGATCGGATAAATATAAGCACATGTGATTATATGTATCTAGTCTAATATGATTTATATATACAAGGTTCGTTTTCACATTTTCGATTCAATAATTTTTCCCATGTACTTAATCACATATGATTAAAGTTGAAAAAGAACAATTACTGAATCGAGAACACGAAAATAAAATATGTCTACATAAATCATATGTAATTTGATAAATAAAATCACATGTGATTATATGTATAAAATCACATATGATTTATGTTGACAATATTTATTTTTGCATTTTCGATTTTATAGTTGATTTTGTTATTTAATCATATATGATTATATGTATTTAAACATATATGATTTATATGAACAAGATTTATTTTTGCGTCAATTCAATAATTTTTCACATATATTTAATCGCATGTGATTATATGTATTTAATCACATCAGATTAATATGGACAAAAAACAATTATTGAATCGAGAACACGAAAACAAATATTATGCGATTAAATACATAATCAAATGTGATTAAATACACAAAAAAACTGCTAAATCGATAACACAAAAATGAAACTTGTCCACATAAATAATATGTATGTATTTAATCACATATGATTTATATCGAGAAGATTCACTTACGTGTTTTCGATTCAATAGCCGGTCTCGCGTATTTAATAATCTGTGATTATATGTATTTAATCACATATGATTTATGTGGAGAAAGTTCGTTTTCATATTTCTTGATTCAATAGTTGTTTTCGTGTATATAATCATATATGATCGTATGTATCTAATCACATGTGAGTAAACGATGGTATCATTTTATTGACCTTAAAAACCCTAAAACAAAATAAATAAAACCTTTGCAACATATAAACATATAAACGTTGTTAATTATGATAATAGAGTGTCATCTATGTTGAAATGTTATTAAATACGACAATGAAGTGTGCTATTAATCAAATGATTTATGTGGAAGACGTATAAATCTTTAGATTTAAAAAATGTCTAGAGAATGTATCTAGAATATATTTAGTATGATATAATTTGTGGAAAATTAATAATAATAAACGTTTACATTTATTATTCTAAATATATTAACACTAAATATTTTAATGAATGAAGCATAAGAAATTGGGCTTTTTTTTAACATATATGAAAGCCATTAAAATAAACAGTAAGAAAAGCTTTAAAAAAAACAATCAGGATAAGTAATTTGTGCTTGAAAAACAAATATACTCTTTAATTTATATATATACGGCATCTGGAGAAACAATTAGAAAAAAGCGCGTGAACATTATTTTTTGAAGTGTAGTTGTTTATTACCTGGACCAATGTATTATCGCACAAACCCTCGTTTTTTGAGCCAGTGAGAGAAAATGTAAATATAATAAAAGTAATCAATCCTTTCAATTAATAGCATATTTCTTTTCCCAACAAAAACAATTCAAGATTCATTTGAAAATATTAGACTGGCATGGACCCTCATTTTTTGAGAAAAACTGACACAGAAGTTGCCCGAGAAGAAGGTACCTTCAATGCAAGCGAAAGAGATGATCCGTTCTATGAAGGTTTCAGATCCGTCGATCTATTTGATGGACCATTTCGCTTTCCTTTGGATGCAAGGGATGGTGTCGATTGCGCAAAACAACCTACTCTTCTCGTTGGAGTGTTTTGAAGTAAGATTCGAGAAGCATATTCTACATCTCGGAGTAGATGTTCTCGATTGCAATCTGGTTCACCGGAGGTCCGAGGTAGGCGAAATCGTGGTTCACCGGAGTTATGAGGCAGACGAAACCGTGGTTCACCGGAGGCCCAAGGCAGACAAAATTGGCGGCGATTAGTGATGGAGAGATCAAATCGATGCTTTGTCTGCTCTGAGATGTAGTTCTACGTGGTCTTCTACTTCAGATCTAGATACGGTGAAATTGGTGACTGGTGAAAACAAGGAGATGACTTCTGATGAGTGAACGAGTGATGGTAAAGCGAGGAAGTGACAAGAATATCGATTGAGAGTGAAGAGGCAACGTTTCGGCGGTGTTATAGTGGACCTAGCGGCGGCGTAACGATGGTCCCGACGTTGGCGTAATGGTTGTTCCGACGATTGTCTAGTGGCCTCTTGGTGGTCTAGATCTAACGTAAATGAGAGAAAGAGAATATGTATAAATGATATAAACAATTCAAAGTTAGTGGTTCAAATTTGTTATCATTTGGTTTCAATTTAATAAAATATATATATATATATATATATATATATATATATATATAT